GCTGATGAAGACATACAGTTTAGATAAACTGCAATTTGGAATGCCTTCTTGTCCAAACAGCTAGTCCCACAAGATACCATTTGTTGAGGAAAAATAGGACCAGGGGAAGTATCTGAATGTCCAGTACAAAAAGTCACAGACTGCCCACAGCTATTTTGGGGCAAGAAGAAAAACTTGGTGCTGTTGTGTTTGAGTAACTTTCAGTGTCAGCACTCAGAGCACCAATACAGCGCAAGGCTGCAGGAGAGGTGCTGGGTAACAAGAGACCAAAAGGAGACATCATACATCGTCTTGGGTCTTAAGTCACAATGCTGAGATTATGTTGGGGCTCCCAGATGCCTCTTTGAAGAGAAACAACTGAACGACTGCAGAAGCAGAAAGATTGCAAGGAGAAGACTTCCGCATTGGGATGCCCTGGAAGAAGTCTGGGGAATTCCTGTTCTTTCTTTCTTTCTCTTCAGTCACAGTTACAGTGAGAGTACCAACTGCTGGGCTTAACGGCCCACCATGTAAAACGTGGGGAAGGATGTTTCAACAATCTTCATGCCAGAAAGCAGTGAACGTGAAACTAGTTCTTTGCTGTTTAAAGGAACATGAAATGGGCCAAGGGCAACATTTCTGAGCTGAAGGTCAAGAAGCAAACTTTAGAGAAGAGAATCAACGATGTAAGATGCCGGTCAAGATCAAGAAATGGGTGTGTAGGACCTGCTGCAAAATGAGAACCAAAAAGCTACATCATGCTTTAAGCCTCCCAAGTGTACACTGAACTATCACACTTCACCTGACTTCCGTACAACCTGTTTATGCTTGTTTTCATATTACGGCAAATGGATGTGACTCTGAGTTACGGAGGCAACGCAGGTCCTGACAGTATCTATACTGGAAGAGGACACCTGTTCCGGTGCTGTTTGGATCAGCCTATGGCAGGACTGTGCTTCCACGCGCAGCCTTTGCGTTCCTTCCTGAAACTGCCTTTATCTCAACCCATGAGTTTTTCATCTTATTTTCTCCTCCTGTCCTGCTGAGGAGGGGGAGTGAGGGAGCAGCTCGGTGGGCACCTGGCAGCCAGCCCACCACAGAAGGCCATTCTGAAATTAAGAGTTTTACAAATCATTTTCTCTGACCACCCTGTGAACATGCAAAGATGGGGCTATGATAAACCACTGAAGTTGGCTACTACCTGTATGAAACCCAGTAGGCATGACACTTACCCTGCTTCTCTCTGCCCCAGCAGAAGGTTCAAGTAACACACAGCAAGTATAGACAAGTTTGCTTATGGATATATAGAGGATGAAGGAGAAAAGAAGCAAGCAGGGAGCCTGAACCCCTTCCATCTTGCTCTCTTGCTGTCCTACCGCCTGCAGCACCAACGGGCTGCGCAGCAAAATCACGTAATGGCAGTGAGGTTATACTCGCTCAACCCCAGCTCCCCCTTGGTCCAGAAAAGAGCTGTATCCACCCTCTATTGAGCAAAGGCACGGAGTCCTGCCCTTTGCTCTGATGCTTTGGGCTCCGATCCTATCTAATTTACCCCATCTTATCTAGCACTACCATGGGTGATCCTGCTTCCCTCTAAATGGCTGCCTTCATAGTCCATTAAAATACCTGTCTGGATGGGAAAAACATTGTTGCAAAAAAACCCCATGCCACACAAAAACCCCCAAACCCACGATCTGCCTCACCTAACCACAGTCCTTAACTGTTTCCTCTGGCCTATAAATGTAATCTCCGCTGAATTAAACTCCACCCAGCTTAACTGTCTGTGCTGGCCACATACTAAAAAAGTTACGTGCCATGCTGTTATCTATCACAGCTTAGTAACAGTAAAACTGCCTTGTCTGTTTATTGTTGGCAAAGGTTCCACAAAGTCCCATCATTTCTCCTTGAATCCACACATAAACACTAACGGGACAGGACTGAGAATCAAAGTCCTTTCCTGGTTAACACACTTCCCCTAAGCCCATCTGTCACCCTCGGAGCAGTATCAAAGCCCTGCTGCTAAGGAATAGTGTGAGGAAAGCTGGGAGGGAGTATGCTCTTCTTTATTCAAGGAAAACAGAGGATGAGCCTAGTAGTCCACCAGTTCTTTCATTTTAAAATAGAAAGATTCATATTGCCTTGCAAGCGTATCGACCAATTTACAGAAAACTGTTTAAACAAAAGCAACAATTATCCTCTTGCCTCACTACTGAGGGTTTTTGCTTTCCTGATAGAACTAGGATCAACTCCACCATCTGTGGATTTGCTCGGGGTATACGAGTGAGAACCTCTTAAAATATAAAAAAATCTTAAAGCCATTATTGTTGTACAAATTATAACCCCTGAAGTAGTTACTCCTTTAAAAAGTCCTAATTTCAAATTGGCTTAAAGTTGATTGGACTAGAATATTACACATAGATGTATGGTAGCTTCTCTACAACCCAACATCAAAGGCTGCAGCATCCTAAGATGCTGGTTGAACTGATGCCACAGAAATGGAAATGGATGTGAAAGATGAATGGTGTGATTTGGACACTCTCCAGATGAAAGCACTTGGCCCAAACTGAAGACAGACAATGGCTGCATAACAGATTGCTTTTAAAAAGCAAGATATATATTCATCTTTTTCTTATTCAACCAAGAAAACATTCTTTATCTAAAAGGAGAAGATTCCTTTGTCTAGGAGTGAAAAAACACATTTAGATGGTTCTACAGATCGGCTATGAAGAACATGAGGCCTCCCAGCAACATTCTTTCAGTACCCTTCACATGCAGACTTGGCTCTGCATTTCCACTGCCTACTGCATGTGGCAGTCATATACTGTGGGATATGACTGTATATGGAGTCTGTGTCTGACAGTCCTGAATAGTAGGTGGTCTGAATCGCTCATTACTCCCATGCCATAGGATTTGGGGCAGCAAGTTAAGCAGTGTGAACAGAGCTCTTGGGCACGCAACCAGAAGAGGAAAACATTATCTTTGTGCTCAACTCTTGAACAGTTCTCGCATCATTTCCTTAATGTACAGTGAACTGAGATGCAAGCCTTCACACAAGCCCTTAGAAAAAATCTGGGGGCTGCTCTTCCCAAGCGTTGTCTAGCCAGACACCGTGGGATGTTCTTTTGCTGTCTGAAAATACCCCCCTTTTATTTTTATGAACAATTTTCTTCTATCTGTTTAAGAAACCACTTTTGTATCTTGTGTGCTAAGATCTTTGTTAAAATACTTTGTAATTATTTACATTGTGCCTTGGCTAAAGCAGTGTGCTAGAAAGAATTTAGCCAGCCAGCAAAAAAGCTTAAATTTAGGGAAGGAGATGGTGTTTCCCCTCATTAATCTGCTTCTGAGGTAAAAAATGTTTTCCGCAGCAAAATGCCTCTGACAGCAAGTTTGTATGGCTCTGTCCCTGAATGTTCTTGACTGCTTTCTTCTTTCTTTAATAAAGGCTGTATATCATGTGTCAAACTTCTGATTTATTTTTACAGCATTACAAATGCAATGCATTTTGTGCAGAAGATCGTAACATCAGTTTTAATATAGCGCAACTACTTTAAGACTGTACTTCCTAAGAATTTGTAAGAAGCCACAGGTATATAAACACCCTGTTCTGCATTTTCATGCACTTATTGCCAAAATCACTCAGATACAGAGTTCTAGGTATGACATCAACTGGAAAAAGATAAACTTTGGTACTTACTGATTTTTGCATAAGTTTTTTGTTATACAGACTAACTACTGTATAGACAATTCATATTTATCAGCCCTGGCTTCTTTTTGACAGTGTTTCTTCTTCCTCACAGAGGAGGCCATGTCCATACTTCGAAACTGCACCAATTTAGTTGTACTTCTGTAGTACAAGCACACAGGGAAGGCAGCACAGTGTTTTATACCCACGGGAACACAGTGATAAAGGAAGGCCAAAGCCTAAGGCTTTTCTATACTAGCAAAGATGTATCTACGCACGAAGTAGCACACCTGGGAAGGTATAAAAGTGATACAGGTGTGCCTGTGTATGCCCACATACACACGCCTATCTTGCAGAACAGATATTCAGCCATTTATCAGCATGACCTGCCAGGGATGGTGTGCCCAACTCCTCACAGGGGTGCTGGATTTCTGTGAGCGTGCTAAGGCTCTGGCCTTACTTTTCAGCTGCAAGAAAGCACAGGGAGGGCTGCGGGCTGGCACCTCTAGACGCTGCCTTGCCCGTAAGCCCTCACCGCATTCAGCAAGCCCGAAAAATGACCCGGCTCCCGGATAAGGCCTTCAGTGGAGAGCCCGAGCGCGGCGGACAGCGGGA